CAACCCAACACTTGTCATCATTTGCCAATTACAGAACATAATAACCATAATTGAGCATATTGGTGGCAAGTCGCCATGTAGGGCTTGTCACAGGGAACTTGATATAGGGCAAAGGCACAGCTGGAGATTCAATACTGGAATACTAACTGTCCTGTGAAAACTGCTCATTTTAAAGCGGAAATGGTTTCAGTTGTATGTTTAACATTTTCAGCTTTCATTCTTCCTGTCTAACAACATAAAGTGTGTGACTGAATGGGTCCTTGACTGGGCGGTCCAAGTACAGGCATGATAAAAGAACACTGGGAATTGACTTATAATACAACTCATCCATTGCATCAAAAGAATTTGTTCAGATAGACTCACATATTGTGTTAAATTATTCATCCATTGAAGATACAACTGTTTAATAAACATATGTACCCGTGAAGATCCAGGTTAGAATAGGTCTTCAGCAAACATTGCTTGTCGTAAGAGGTGATCAGGATCAGGGGGTCAGACTTGCTGACTTAGTTGATGCATGTCATCGTTTCCCAATTGAGTGGATCCATGCTCATCATATCACTGGATTGTCTGGTCCAGACTTGATTTTTTACGAACTGCCACCATAAAGCTGGAATATTGTTGAGTGTGGCGTTAAACAACAAATAAAGAATAAACATACAACAATAATTTCTTAATTTGAAGTTTACACCATAAATGGCTTTTCCGTTGTCAACGACACAATTTGATGTTCAAACGTTTACATGATAGTCTTCATGAAATGACGTAAACACTGACTCCATATTCCCTGGGAATTCCCTTACATGAATACCTTCAGAAGTGTTGTTTATAATTATTAGACCCTATAATCTTGAACTCAGCATTTTATATTACATTGAGAAACGACAGAGAGTTTTACTGCATGAGCGTTCACGAACATCCTCGCTTCTACCCATCTTAGTGAACAAAACATAGAAATGCACATGATGTCATCCATTATCGTAGTATCGACTCGATCCGGGAAAAGACTGACAGTTACAGTCTACAGCAATCTATGAATTTACCTTTGTATGTATTCAACACATCTTTATAATCCCCTTTTCAATGACTGTCCAACTGATCAATGATGACTATCACACGCAAATGCCACAGATTCATTAACAACTTAAGAAATCTCTTCCGTCACGTTTATCGTGTCAGCCATTTTGACGTCTTGTACTTGATGTAAATGTATAACAGCGCACTGCCACTGTGACTGACTTACTGAGGTAGTTCTTAACAAACCTTTCTCACCCAATGATGAAATTATTTAAATACATCTCTTGTACAACAGATGTTCCTGTAAAGCAAGTGGAGCATACATACTCTCATGTCACCTCTCTTTTTGGGGAACTATCATACAGCTGGTTGTTGTATGGCTGACAGTGTAAACATGAAGTCACACGTACAGATCTAGCGCTACATCCCTCAAAGAGAAAGTCAATTCTTAAGTATTACACATTGTGAAGTTTGTAGTTCGAAAGGGGTAGGATGGCAGCACTGTGCAACTGTGCCCCCCCTGACAGATGAACTACTACTTGAAGCCCCCAATTGTCACACAACACCAGAGATGCAGCAACACAATCTGTACTAACAGAAAAAAGTACCTATGCCATATAAAGAATTATAAAAATCAATTTATTCTGAATTAAAATTCATCTTTAAACACATATTCATGAAGACATCTCCTTGACTTAAAGATCGTGATTCACAATTTGCACTTGTATGTTAGCGTGTTTGTGGGGAGTATGATACTCACAAGTTTGTTTAATGTGAACACACAATGATAGTGTAGCTATCAGGTGCTCATAAAAAACACTTTTGTGTAACCATAAATAATGCTTATGCAATGCCACAACTTGCTGAAAATTAACATCTATGAGCCATGAAATTGCTACAAACAGGAATGACGCAAAATGCAGTGGCCAGACATTTTAATGTCCATCGAAACACAACATCATCTCTTCGGAGTCATCCATGTGGGACGTCACGTCAACAAGACAACCATATAAGGTTGGTGCATCTACAGAATCGATACCAAACTGACACATTTACAGCTTGGACAATTTCTGGGTTGAGACCAATTTGTGGCAGAACCGTACACAACTTGTTGAGGGAGCACAACATCCGGGCAAACATCTGTCTGTACATCCAATTTTGCTTCCACAGCCGAGCTTTCAGAAGACCAGACTGGGACAGTATACTGTTTACAGATGAGTCCAGGTTTCATTTGGACAGCTCTGATGGTTCTAAAGGCGTCCAGGTGAACATTTTAGTGATGCTTGCGTTACTCAACATTGTCTATTTGGGGGTCGACGTGTAATGGGGTAGAGGTGGCATCACAACACATCATTGTTAATGGCAATTTGAATGGCATATGCTTCCTGGGGATGACATCGTTTGAGATAATCTTCTGCCAAGTTTACCCTCTGTGCAAATACCCACGTTGCACCAGGATAATGCCCGCCTACACATTGCACATGATGTAACAGACTTTGGGACGGACGTTGTGACATTGCTGTACTGCCATGGCCAGCTGTTTGTCCAGACCTCTTCCCCATAGAACATGTCTGGGATGAGATGGAACTACACATACGACAGAACCAGAAGCAACTGGTAACGCTAGTTCAGTTGGACCAAACTTTGGTTGATATTTGGAGCTGATAGGCTGTCTTCAATAATCTGGGGTCTTCAATGTGTCTCCGCTACTTCGCCTGTATCAACGCAAATGGTGGTCACACCTGATATTGACATTTAACATGTTTAAGGATGGAATTTGCATTTGTTGACATTCATCAGCTGATAAAGACCGTGCCTCAACGTGAACAAATTCCATGATGCACAAAGGCTTTATTTTATTGTTTTATGTACCAACCAACCAATGAAATATTATGAATGGGGAAAATAGAAACTTGTTCATTATGAATATATGATATTATTATTACTTTGTGTCATTTAAGTATTTATGCGATCAGCAGAATATTGCGTAGGCCTTTACAGATTGCAAGCACCTGTCAGTGATGAAGAAAGGTGACAAAAGCAGTTAAACCATCACTAAACTACAGACTTGGCAGGTATATATTTTTAAGCTTAAACTGTTGATTAAGACTTGGTTTTCATTCAGAAAGTTACAATAATACCAGACTAGTTTAAAATGACTGTTTACACCTGATCAAAACTACGTCAAACCATGTATGACAGAGCGGCCCGATAACTTTATCTTCTAAATCAATCTCATTAAAATCAAATCTGAGGACATCCCATTACATGTCACGTCAGAACGACCTTTCATCCGACCAATCAAAGAGTCGCTTACAACATCATAAAGCTCGGGAAAGCTGCTTTCTAATTGGCTGATGTCGACTTCTTGTTAGTCATTTTAGTGGTCAGTCGAAGTTTGTGAAAGGTCATTCTGACGTGACCTGTTACGGGATGTCCTCAGATCTTTGTTTAGTGGCAGCGAGAACTTAGATCTGATTTTAATAAGATTGTCTTCTAAACCTACATGAGAAAACAGTAACATAACAACAAACTGTTTTCTACTGAAAGTGAGCAAGTTCTGTTTAACCCTGATTTGGACAGTGATTTTGAAGTGACATCATTCCAGCTTAACATGTTTAAGGCATAAATCATCTAATAAAACATTACTTTGTCTTGCTGTTCTCAAATGTACACTTGCTATGATTGATGTTCAAGAATAGAACATATATTTACCATGCATGTCTTTTGTTTAACGTCACTTTTAGCAATATTTAAGCAAAATCACGGCAGGGGACACCAAAAATGGGCTTCACACATTGTATCCATGTGGTGAATCGAACCCGGGTCTTTAGTGTGACAAGCGAACACTTTAATCACGAAGCTACCCCACCGTCCTAATCTTCTTTAACATCATGCATAGTAAGTGTACATTTGATAATATCAACACAAAGTCACCCAATAACGTTAAAAAGGATAATGACAAGATTTAAAACATTTTGCAAAAATGTTGTGAAAGTCAAAATTACTTGATAAGACACCCGGGGAAAAAACCCAAGAGTTTCCGTTTAATAATGCCAGGTGGGAGAATGCATGAGGTTGAAAAACCACTTGTATGTATCTTCTACTTCTACAAGTCCCCAAAGCTCCATAAATGTGGGTCAGTCTCTCCACATAGCCTATTCCACTGTGCACAATCAAATACACAACACAGGGCAATCGGACAGTTTCCTTTCTAATCCGTACTGCTAACAATTTAGTCCAACTCAGTACCAGCACAGCTGAAGTACTTCGTGTAGGTCACAGGCGCAGGTTGGGACACCTCAAGCTGGTCAGGACAAACCTAATTTAGCCAAGCAGCTTGTAGTGAAGCATTGGGAAGCACAACATTAAAAACTAGGTGTAAAAAATTAGCTGAATTCAATTTGTCTCCAAAACCTTACTTACAATGTAAGAGACACCTGACAAGGACACAAGCCTGCAAGACTGTGGGTACAGCAGGTGAGGCTATCTTGAGAGGTAGTACCTATATAATAACACAACATTGGCCACAGAATGAATCCATTTTTCAGTTCATTGGCATTTCCTTGCATGCGTGCATGCGTGCGTGCGTGCGAACTAATGCCAACATACAGACTCCGAGCACCAGGCAGGGTAACAACAAGTACCATTTTAATGCCTTATTGTATGACGTGGCCGAAAAGGAACTCACCACCTTCTACTCTCCGGCAGACACTCTATCCACCAGACCACGGAAGATGTCTTTCCATATAGTTGGCCTTCCATACAGTTGTATCAACATAATTATGAGAGCTTTGCGATGTAAACCACAGTAACATTAACATTAGCATGTAGAGAAAACTGTACTATTCTGTTAGTAAGTAGAGTAAAAATGTAAGTTGAAATCGTCCCTACTAACATGACTAAATTACTATTAGTATTAAGTATTTCACTACACTGTAATTTGGGCTCATCCTTGTTAACCATACTTTGGTACCCTGCAGATGAAGAGCTACACTGTGAAGCCTGGCCTGTACCAAGGAGCTGCACTGTGGTGCCCCACCTGTATGAAGGAGCTACACTGTGGTGCCCCACCTGTATGAAGGAGCTGCACTGTGGAGCCCCACCTGTACAAAGGAACTGCACTGTGGAGTCTGGCCTGGCCTGTACCAAGAAGCTGCAGTGTGGAGCCCGGCCTGTACCAAGGAACTGTACTGTGGAGCCCCACCTGTACCAAGGAGCCTGGCCTGTACCAAGAAGCTGCAGTGTGGAGCCCCACCTGTACCAAGGAGCTGCACTGTGGAGCCCGGCCTGTACCAAGAAGCTGCAGTGTGGAGCCAGGCCTGTACCAAGGAACTGTACTGTGGAGCCTGCTGGCCTGTACCAAGAAGCTGCAGTGTGGAGCCTGGCCTGTACCAAGAAGATGCAGTGTGGAGCCCGGCCTGTACCAAGGAGCTGTACTGTGGAGCCCGGCCTGTAACAAGGAGCTGTACTGTGGAGCCCGGCCTGTACCAAGAAGCTGCAGTGTGGAGCCAGGCCTGTACCAAGGAACTGTACTGTGGAGCCTGGCCTGTACCAAGAAGCTGCAGTGTGGAGCCCGGCCTGTACAAAGGAACTGCACTGTGGGGCCTGGCCTGTACCAAGGAGCTGCACTGTGGGGCCTGGCCTGTACCAAGGAGCTGCACTGTGGAGCCCCAGCTGTACAAAGGAACTGCACCATGGGGGCGGGCCTGTACAAAGGAGCTGCACTGAGGAGCCAGGCCTGTACCAAGGAGCTGCACTGTGGAGCCCGGCCTGTAACAAGGAGCTGCACTGTGGAGCCCGGCCTGTACCAAGAAGCTGCAGTGTGGAGCCCGGCCTGTACAAAGGAACTGCACTGTGGAGCCTGGCCTGTACCAAGAAGCTGCAGTGTGGAGCCCGGCCTGTACAAAGGAACTGCACTGTGGGGCCTGGCCTGTACCAAGGAGCTGCACTGTGGGGCCTGGCCTGTACCAAGGAGCTGCAGTGTGGAGCCAGGCCTGTACCAAGGAGCTGTACTGTGGGGCCTGGCCTGTACCAAGGAGCTGCACTGTGGGGCCTGGCCTGTACCAAGGAGCTGCAGTGTGGAGCCCGGCCTGTAACAAGGAGCTGTACTGTGGAGCCCGGCCTGTACCAAGAAGCTGCAGTGTGGAGCCAGGCCTGTACCAAGGAACTGTACTGTGGAGCCTGGCCTGTACCAAGAAGCTGCAGTGTGGAGCCCGGCCTGTACAAAGGAACTGCACTGTGGAGCCCGGCCTGTAACAAGGAGCTGCACTGTGGAGCCCGGCCTGTACCAAGAAGCTGCAGTGTGGAGCCAGGCCTGTACCAAGGAACTGTACTGTGGAGCCTGGCCTGTACCAAGAAGCTGCAGTGTGGAGCCCGGCCTGTACAAAGGAACTGCACTGTGGGGCCTGGCCTGTACCAAGGAGCTGCACTGTGGGGCCTGGCCTGTACCAAGGAGCTGCACTGTGGAGCCTTGCCTGTACCAAGGAGCTGCACTGTGGAGCCTGGCCTGTACCAAGGAGCTGCACTGTGGAGCCTGGCCTGTACCAAGGAGCTGCACTGTGGAGCCCCACCTGTACAAAAAGCTGCACTGTGGGGCCTGGTGTCATGAAAGCATCAAGGCAGCAACTTCACCTTCTGCATGTCTTGCAAGGTCAGTGTTTCAAATCATACCACATAGCTCAATATTATTATACTGTTAACCTAATCCAGGAAATCACTGTAGGAATACAGCCATGATTGCCTTACCAACCAACTCATGAATTAAGCTTAGTAGTACATGTGACCTTCCAGAACAAATGATTGCTTGGTTGCAGCCTGGATATTGAGATAAGAAATCAAGTGTTACCCTGTGACCTGGGATCTGGCATATGTCAAGAGTATTATCAGGAGACTAGACTGATTAGATAACTTTTCACAGGCAGCATTTGACTAGCTGCAATAGTTGTCATTTAATTCCAGGAGAATATAAATTCATATTCATCATGTTCATATTCTAGCAGTCCCTTGAATTGAGGAGAAAAAGTTAAAATTGCATCTAACCATGCAAACCAAATTTTTGTCAAAATCTAAAATAATTTGATATTGTTGGGTGGCTGAAACTTTCTGAACCTAATTATAGAGGACTGAATTGATTGAGTTAGATGTTAGATGTTTCCACTGCTGAGAATGGTGAAAGTATCTCGGGCTGATGGCTGCGAACTCAAGACTTGTCCTTGGTTACAAACACCTCAACAAAATGAGCTGGGTGAGCTTCACAATGATAAACCTGGACATCAGGTGACATATATAGTGCCCCTGGGCTAACACAACTACAGTCAAGTCCTGTTAATCCGACATCGATGGTTGCATACGATTATGTCGGATTAACGAGTATGTCGGAAAAACGAAATTAAGTAGTATCAACGTTCGTGATCGAAAATTGGACAACTACACGATAGATACAAGGATTCAAACACGTAATAAAAAACATAAAATAAATATTCATATTGTTATGTTACATTGTTGGCGGAATATGTTTTCTAAGCATGCAACCTCTAAAGTTTAACACAAAACAACTGTTACGGACTGTATGACTTATTCAAAATACTTTAAAAAGCATAGTCTGGAATGGCAGTCGCAACTTTGAAACTGGTACCCAAAGCTAAGAAAGCTGCTTTCTAAGTGGCTAACGTCGACTTCCTGTTGGTCATTTCATTGGTAGGTCATAGTTCGCAAAAGGTTGTTCTGACGTGACCTGTAATGGGATGTCCTCGTCGAGAGCGAGAACTTGTATCTGATTTTAATAAGATTGAGGTAATCTAAGCATGTGATTTAGCCTGTTTTCTTTTTATTTAAAGCATTTATTGTTCATTGTTTAAGCAAGTTTATCTCTGCAGCCATTGTAATATGCAGCTACCAGCCAATTCGTCTCGCATCAAAACATGGGCAGTGTACTCGCGGTCAGATGACCACGGAGTACGCTGATCACTGTGTTGGATTTACGAGACTGATTAATGATTTTGGTAATTCGTGTGTCGGAGTCAGAGTGTGAGACTGTCAGATTAACAGGTCTAAATAGCATTGATTTAATCGGTTCCCATCATTATCGTCAGATAAAGCCCCACATAACCACACAGAACAAACACATGTACACACTGGTGCAACATCAGTGCCCCTGGCCCCACACAACCACACAGAACAAACACATGTACACACTGGTGCAACATCACTGCCCCTGGCCCCACACAACCACACAGAACAAACACATGTACACACTGGTGCAACATCACTGCCCCTGGCCCCACACAACTACACAGAACAAACACATGTACACACTGGTGCAACATCACTGCCCCTGGCCCCACATAACCACACAGAACAAACACATGTACACACTGGTGCAACATCAGTGCCCCTGGCCCCACATAACCACACAGAACAAACACATGTACACACTGGTGCAACATCACTGCCCCTGGCCCCACATAACCACACAGAACAAACACATGTACACACTGGTGCAACATCACTGCCCCTGGCCCCACAGAACAAACACATGTACACACTGGTGCAACATCAGTGCCCCTGGCCCCACATAACCACACAGAACAAACACATGTACACACTCGTACAACATCTGTGCCCCTGGCCCCACATAACCACACAGAACAAACACATGTACACACTGGTGCAACATCAGTGCCCCTGGCCCCACATAACCACACAGAACAAACACATGTACACACTCGTACAACATCTGTGCCCCTGGCCCCACATAACCACACAGAACAAACACATGTACACACTGGTGCAACATCACTGCCCCTGGCCCCACATAACCACACAGAACAAACACATGTACACACTGGTGCAACATCAGTGCCCCTGGCCCCACATAACCACACAGAACAAACACATGTACACACTGGTGCAACATCACTGCCCCTGGCCCCACAGAACAAACACATGTACACACTGGTGCAACATCAGTGCCCCTGGCCCCACATAACCACACAGAACAAACACATGTACACACTCGTACAACATCTGTGCCCCTGGCCCCACACAACCATACAGAACAAACACATGTACACACTGGTGCAACATCAGTGCCCCTGGCCCCACACAACTACACAGAACAAACACATGTACACACTCGTACAACATCTGTGCCCCTGGCCCCACACAACCACACAGAACAAACACATGTACACACTGGTGCAACATCTGTGCCCCTGGCCCCACAGAACAAACACATGTACACACTGGTACAACATCAGTGCCCCTGGCCCCACACAACCACACAGAACAAACACATGTACACACTGGTACAACATCAGTGCCCCTGGCCCCACAGAACAAACACATGTACACACTGGTACAACATCAGTGCCCCTGGCCCCACATAACCACACAGAACAAACACATGTACACACTGGTGCAACACCACTGCCCCTGGCCCCACATAACCACACAGAACAAACACATGTACACACTGGTTAAACATCAGTGCCCCTGGCCCCACAGAACAAACACATGTACACACTAGTACAACATCAGTGCCCCTGGCCCCACATAACCACACAGAACAAACACATGTACACACTGGTACAACATCAGTGCCCCTGGCCCCACAGAACGAACACATGGACACACTGGTACAACATCAGTGCCCCTGGCCCCACACAACCAAACAGAACAAACACATGTACACACTGGTGCAACATCAGTGCCCCTGGCCCGACACAACTACACAGAACAAACACATGTACACACTGGTACAACATCAGTGCCCCTGGCCCCACAGAACAAACACATGTACACACTGGTACAACATCACTGCCCCTTGCCCCACACAACCACACAGAACAAACACATGTACACACTGGTACAACATCAGTGCCCCTGGCCCCACACAACCATACAGAACCAACGCATGTACCTAAATCCAAATGCAGTAAGAATGTGTTTTCTTAAACCTATAGTGATATAAACCAACCTGGAAGTACTAAGGAGGTGTCTGTTTCCCGAACCAGAAGTAATAAGACCAAACACACAAATATTAGAATGTAAGCTCAAGCCATGATGAATTTCTGTTCAGAGCTTTAAATTTCTGTAAAAGTATTTATTAATTGTTATTGTTATTATTAGCATTATTATTATGATTATGGACAAAAAATGATGTGTTGTAAGCAGGTAAGAGCTTTTTAATCAAGCATTTGTATTTTTCATCATTTTCGTCTTTCTACTTTAATGCCTGGCATGGTCTACATACAGATGCATCATCCAGATGGCTAACAGGACAGAATACTCCTTCATATTTCCTCTTGGTGGGAACAGAGAGTAATTGTGCTGAACTTTGGAATTCAGTGTGAACCTTGCCATTCCAAATAGTGTATACAAATTTGTCAAGTAAGTAAAATGTAAGTGAACCAAGTTTATCAGGCTGTGGTTAAAGAGTATTGGCTATTGAATTTCCCAGTACAAATCTTATTTCAGTATGTATTTTGCATCCTAAACTAGGCTTAAGATTTAATTAGATGTGCTGTCAGTTGTGAGCACATGACATACTGATAATATTAATTATACAAGTGCAAAAGTGAGCGTGGCTCACTAATACCCCCGACCCGCCGAGTGTGTCAGTAGTTACAAATTAAATAGCTAGGATAGGGTTAGGGTTTGAAAAATTCATACAAAAATGGAAAATTAATAAAAACATTTTTTTTCTTTTGACTGCACCCCTCCATATGACATAGCTTATATGTACTAAGTTTGAGATGAATCCACTGAATAGTTTAAAAGAAATCGCGAGGACAAAGTTTTCAGATGGACGTTAGGGTTTGAAAAATTCATACAAAAATGGAAAATTAATAAAAACAATTTTTTTTCTTTTGACTGCACCCCTCCATATGACACAGATTATATGTACTAAGTTTGAGATGAATCCACTGAATAGTCTAAGAGAAATCACGCGAACAAATTTTTGGGACGGACGGACGGACTGACGGATGGACTGAACCTTGGTATAACTATATACCCCCGACATTTTGTCGGGGGTATAAAAGTGGTTTCCCCTCCTGTAATGCATGGTACAAGGAAAGGGAGAACAACAACAGGAAATTATTCTTCAAATGTTAGTCCTTTAACATTTAAAAGGCCACTCATTTCATGGAAAAACCACGATGTTTGGGAAATGAAAAAGACCTGTGGATATTACATTTCTTTCTACAATCATCTCGTTTATCACACATACCAGAAAATATTTCCTGTGAATAATAACTCTGATGTCAGATTGTCACCTGTAACTGTGATCAACTGGCTTATCATGGCTACGTGGTACATGTATACATTATCTCATGTCAGCTAGACCACAAACCTAAAACTTCTCCATCGATCAAGGTTGTATATTAACCTAACACTCATTATTCTGCATATAAAGACAGACAGTTCTCTCGACATGGAGAATACTAAGACACATCACGGAAATACATCATAAAAAATGTATTTGAGTTTGACAGACTAGAGTTATGTCCCTTAAATCATATTTGAAGCTGCAAAATACAAGTAATCAAATATTTGCCAAACAGAAACCTCAAACAAAAGACTTTCGTTTATAGACATGATTAGCACATCATCACTAAGGTGTGGTACCTGACTGATGCAGGACAGTGA